GTTTACTGTAAGGATGCTCCGCATGCTCTGAGTGATTGCCCGAAGTACAAACAGCAGGGAGAAAAACTAAAGCGGTCTTTGCAAGCTCGCTCTAAGCGCTCGTTAGCAGAAATTTTAAAAACGACCGCTTCATCTTCCCAAACCACCCCAAAAAGCAACAACACATTCCACCTCCTGCCAGATGATGATCAGGGCTCTGACTCAGAGGTGGGTGAGAGTAGTCCTTTTGTCTTTAATGGCAACACGAGGAAGCGGTCCAAAATAAACGTCACCCAAAAACCTCGTAAGGCCTCTCGTATGGACTACCAACCTACCTTGACAAATTTAAGAGGTAGCGGAAATGTACCGAAACCCCCACCACCGGGATTTAAAGTTTGTAATTTTAACAAGGACTTTCCGCCACTTCCGGGATCATCTAAAACCCCAGATATCCCAGTTTTTCAGCCAGAAAAACAGCTGAATAATCAGCAAGAACATGATGCCATGTTCACGTTTTCTGAAATTGTGGAGAGCATCTTCAATATATTCAACGTCTCTGACTCAACTCGGAACATTATTAATTTAGTGCTTCCATTCGTGAAAACTCTTTTGAAGCAACTAGCTTCTAGGTGGTCCTTCCTTGCATCGATCATATCCTTTGATGGATAATTTTCCGAATGAGGTCGGGGATATGATCTCTGTTCTTCAGTGGAACTGTAGAAGTCTTATACATAAACTTGACACATTCAAATTTTTAGTTCACAACTCACTTTGTGATGCATTTGCTCTTTGTGAAACATGGCTTTCTTCAGACACCGATCTCCCTTTCCACGATTTTAACATTATTCGCCTTGATCGAGCAGATTCGTATGGAGGGGTGCTTCTCGGGATTCATAAGCTCCATTCCTTTCATAGAATCGATCTGCCTTCCGTGACAGGCATTGAAGTTGTCGCATGTCAGGTAAATATTCGAGGTAAAAGCCTCAGTATTGCCTCAGTATATCTTCCTCCAAGAACTGCGATTTCTCGCCAAGGTCTCTCAGATATCTGCTCAGCTTTATCTGAGCCTCGGTTGATATTAGGAGATTTTAACTCCCACGGTACAGGCTGGGGGGAACTGTACGATGACAACCGCTCAACCCTGATATACGACCTTTGCGATAACTTCAATATGACAATTCTAAACACTGGGGAAGTAACACGAGTGGCCAAACCTCCAGCAAGAGAAAGTAGATTAGACCTCTCCCTCAGTTCGAGTTCACTATCGTTGGATTGCTCGTGGAAAGTAATTCAAGATCCCTACGGTAGTGACCACTTGCCAATCAAAATTTCTATTACCAATGGTTCATCTTCCACTCGCTCGGTTGACATCGCGTACGACCTCACGAAAAACATCGACTGGCAAAAATTTGCGTCCGCGGTTCTCGGTGGTACTGATTCGGTTGACATACTCCATCCGCTGGATGAGTACTCCTTTTTATCGCGACTTATCGTTGACTGCGCTCTTCAAGCACAGACGAAACGCGTTCCGGGTGTTTTCGTTCGCAAACGACCTCTCACTCCGTGGTGGGATAAGGATTGCACCGACGCGAACAGCGAGAAGTCCGCCGCGTTTAAACGCTTCCGCAAACACGGTAAGGTCGAGGATTTCGAGCGGTACACCGACCTCGAGAAAACTTTTAAGAGCTTGATTAAAGCCAAAAAACGCGGTTACTGGCGTCGGTTCGTCGATGGTTTGTCGAGAGAGACTTCGATGAGAACACTCTGGAATGTCGGCAGGAGAATGCGCAACGCGTCATCACCGGTCAACGAAGACAAGGAGTACTCAGACAGTTGGATATTCAGCTTCGCGCAGAAAGTTTGCCCGGATTCGGTGTCGGTTCAAACCAACGTTCGTGATAGTCCGTCGGGTAGTAACGAAATAGATTCTCCGTTTTCGATGGTGGAATTCTCACTTGCTCTCCTCTCATGTAACAACTCAGCTCCAGGAATGGATAGAATCAAGTTCAACTTGCTCAAAAAACTCCCAGACGTCGCGAAGAGACGCTTGTTGAACTTATTCAATCAATTTCTGGAGCACAACATTGTTCCGGATGATTGGAGGCAAGTAAGAGTTATCGCCATTCGAAAACCCGGTAAACCCGCGTCGGATTATAACTCGTACCGTCCCATCGCGATGTTGTCCTGTATACGGAAATTGTTGGAGAAAATGATTCTTTTTCGTCTAGACAAATGGGTCGAGTCGAATGGTTTACTTTCAGATACGCAATTTGCATTTCGGAGAGGCAAAGGAACGAGCGACTGTCTTGCGTTGCTTTCAACTGAAATTCAACTGGCCTATGCGCAAAAACAGCAAATGGGTTCAGTTTTCTTGGATATTAAGGGGGCTTTTGATTCTGTTTGTATCGATGTCCTTTCGGATAAACTCCACGATAGTGGGCTTTCACCAATTATGAACAACTATTTGAGCAACTTGTTGTCTGAGAAATATATGAGCTTTTCTCATGGAAACTCGACAACTTCACGAATTAGTTACATGGGTCTCCCCCAGGGCTCATGTTTAAGCCCCCTTCTTTATAATTTTTACGTTAAAGACATTGATGGTTGTCTTGATGAAAATTGCTCGCTAAGGCAGCTTGCAGATGACGGCGTTGTGTCCGTTATAGGGCCAAGTGCACCGGACCTGCAAGGACCATTGCAAGATACCTTAAACAATTTGTCTACTTGGGCTATGAAGCTGGGTATCGAATTCTCTCCGGAGAAAACTGAGTTGGTTGTTTTTTCTAGGAAGCATCATCCTGCACAGTTACAGCTTCAACTAAAGGGTAGAACAATCACTCAAAGTATATCTTTCAAGTATTTAGGTGTCTGGTTCGATTCCAAATGCACATGGGGAAAACATATTGCGTATCTAAAACAAAAATGCCAACAAAGAATCAATTTTCTTCGTACAATTACCGGAACTTGGTGGGGAGCACACCCGGAAGATCTTATCAGGTTGTATCGAACAACCATCTTGTCGGTTCTAGAGTACGGTAGCTTCTGCTTTCAATCCGCGGCGAAAACACATATCTTGAAGCTGCAACGAGTTCAATACCGTTGCCTCCGAATCGCGCTTGGCTGTATGCACTCGACGCATACGATGAGCCTCGAAGTACTCGCGGGTGTTCTCCCACTGACAGATCGTTTCGCTGAGCTGTCTTTCCGGTTCCTCATCCGTTGTGAAGTATTGAATCCTTTGGTAATAGAACACTTTGAGAAGCTGCTCGACCAAAATCCTCAAACAAGATTCATGAGTTTGTACTATGAGTACATGACGCTGGAGGTTGGTCCTTCTTCATTAATCTCCAATCGTGATTGCTTCCAAGCCTTCTATAGTTCCTCTGTAAATTTTGATCTGACCATGATGCAAGAAATCCATGGAATACCAGATCACCATCGGTCGATGGTTGTTCCCTCAATTTTTGCAATCAAGTACCACCATGTAAGTAACGATAAAAGATTTTTCACAGATGGGTCAACCATAAATGCTTCCACTGGATTTGGTGTATTTAATCAATTTCATAGCGCCTCCTATAAACTGCAGAAACCATGCTCCGTATACGTTGCGGAACTCGCAGCTATATTTTACGCAGTAGAGCGAATTGCCTCACTACCTTCTGACCATTATTTCATTTTTACGGATAGTCTTAGCTCATTGGAGGCTATTCGTTCAATGAGGCCGATGAAGCACTCCTCGTATTTCCTGCCTGAAATACGATCTAAACTGAGTGCTTTATCTAACTGCTCCTATACTATCACCTTAGCTTGGGTCCCATCTCATTGCTCAATTCCGGGTAATGAGAAAGCGGACTCATTGGCTAAGGTGGGCGCTATGGAAGGCGATATTTTTGAGCGACAAATCGCCTTCAACGAATTTTTCTCCATTGCTCGCCAGCAAGTCCTCATCAGTTGGCAACAAAAATGGAATGGTGGTGAATTGGGAAGATGGTTACATTCTATTCTCCCACAGGTGTCGAACAAACCATGGTTCAAAGGGTTGGACATGAGCCGCGACTTTATACGCGTTATATCAAGGCTTATGTCCAATCACTGCTCGTTAGACTCGCACTTCTATCGAATTGGGCTCTCAGGCAGCAATTTATGTGCGTGTGGCAGTGGTTATCACGATATCGAGCATGTTGTTTGGTCGTGTACCTTACACCGTGTTGCCAGATCTGAGTTATCCACATCCCTCAGGGCCCGAGGAAAACAACCCGCGATACCCGTTAGAGATGTCTTGGCGAGCCGAGACCTTGACTATTTGAATTTAATTTATGTGTTTTTAAAAAGGATAGATTTGAGGATTTAGAAGTTAGTGTCATCTTGTGTTCTCCCAAGTTGTTAGCTACCCATCGGTGTACCCCCATGTTTGTCTTTTTCATCAGAGTGTCGCCTAGTTCGAGATCAAGAGCACATTGCTCTCCAAACCTTGTGTTCACAATCCCTACCCTGCCATCCATTTGTTACAATTTGTTACCCCTAACCTCGAGATAGCCGCGAGTAATCGGCCCCCGCTTTACTAACGTTAGTTTTAAGTAATTTTGTTATCTAAACAATGAATATCGGCTCCGCAAAGCTACAGCAAATGAGCCTGGAAAAATAAACGAATTATTAAAAAAAAAAAAAAAATAAATATTAATGTTAGAGCATTGTTTCCACTGAAAATTTCACTGTAATTTTTTTTCGGGAGTCCACGTGAGAACGTCGTTTACTCAAAAGTGAGTCAACATCGAGGTCAACATAAGTATTGAGTAGCCCTACTTGCCGCTGAGATGAGTACATTCTACTAAATTTTGAGTCGACTAGAATAAGCGTGTAATACGGCAGATGAAAAGAAGCGAGAAAAGGAGAAAGATTTAAAAATTGGTTCAATTTTAATCATCGACGAGTATATGAAAGTTTCCGTGCACCTCAGCAGCTGTCAAATCAAAATCTGATTTTCAGTTGACCGCGGTGAAGCATTTTCTTGTTAATCTTGTTTGAAGCATTTTCGTCGTTGCAAATAGTTTTCCTAAAATTTTATTTTTGAAAGTAGGAAAATTTGTTGAATATTCACAAGCCGCGATGGGGGACAGCAATCTCCTTTCGGCGTACAAGCTAATCAACTCGCAGTTGGTGCTCAGCAATCAAAAGCTGAAGGAAGAAATCAAAGACAAAATCGAGATGATCAACGCACTGAACGAAGAAGTATTCAAATACAGAGAGGAAAACAAAACGCTTCGCGATATGGTGCACAAGCTGGTGGAGCAATTCAAAACCGTCACAACGATCATGGTATCGGTTCGGGATCAGAGTGAGTCGGTGTTCAACGTAGTATTCAACGAACATGCCAGAAAAGAACACGAACAACAAACTCGAAGGCCGGTGGCGGGTTTGTTCTACGAGAAGCGTCGTACCGAGTGCCCGCCGTATGTGGACGAGGCAGCGATCGCCGAGGGACAGGATGAGAATCAATCGATGGAAGACTACCGATCCGCTATCGCGGAAGAGGACGATGACGAACTTGGCGAAGAGGATGAGGAACAAGAGAAAGGTTCTACGCCTTCCAAGAGTCCACTGGTGAAGCGACTGGGAAGGAAGTCGAAGAATCGCAGCTTTGATGAATCTTTTGAAACCATAGACACGAACCGTGTTGTCAAGTCGGCCCGCAAGAGTCAGGAATATCTGCAATGTAGAGATTCGCGAGATGGTAGGCACAGCGAAGATGGAAGCATTCAAGATAGCACTGATAGAGAGGATAGCAACACTAGCAAAACTATTATGCCGCCGATTATCGTAGTAGATGCTACGCTGACCGATAGGAAGTTTGAAGGTAAAGTTCTTTAACATTGTGATAATATGGTAAGGGAAACTGAATTTACTAATGCTTTCAGGGCAATCGACGATTCGTAAGAGCATTCTAGAAGTTAGCAGTTTTTCCGTAAATTCCAGCATCCCGAGTGACCAGAGTACCCAGAGCGAACTTAATCCAACAACGGATCAGAGTATGCGGCCAGTATCGATGAAGCGAATGGCAAGTGATTCAATGTTGACAACATTAGTCGAACGGGAGAACAACAAGGAAAACAGTACTTTAGTTAACGACACGATTTCCAACGCTGCCTCTTCTACGCCGGTCGTCAAAAAGTGTAAACCGAAGACAATCTCCAAGCGCTTCACCGTCCTATCTCCGGTACCATTTGTGTCGCTGAAACCATTGACGAAAGAAAATCTGAGCGAACACAACATATCCTACGACCGATTGGTGAAAAATGCCAAAAAGGTCGTCAAGTATGAAGAACCGGACAGCTGTAGCGATCAGAACAGTATAGATTCCAACGATTCTAGGAGACCCCGACGCAAGGCTGCCCCCAAAGTACTGAAGGAGCAAAGGATCAACTTGAAAATGCGACGAACGTAATTTTTGTTCGAGTTTGTTTTTAATGTTTTAGATGTAGTTTAAAAAAATATTTGAACACCAGTGACGCCTACTAACAATTATACGAGACTTGAATCGCATTAAATTGTACATTCTTTTTATATGTAGGTCACCTGTAATTTTTAATTGAGAATATCAAATTCAATACAGCGCTTGGTTTATTTAAGATACACAAAATACCGCCAGTGAAGTTTTCCTTACAAACTATTTTGCGTAGATCTTTTTACAACAATATTTGGTACTTATACTGTTTTGGAACCTTTGAGATGATCAACCTTCCGTCATAACTCAACGATGCAAACATCCACGGGTCGGCCGTACTCCACTCCACACAATAAACCGAATCTTCATGTTGATCGAACGTCTGCAGCAGCCCATCGGCCAACTGTTCCTTATCGTTGGAAGTCTCACCGTTGCCGCTTTCCAGTGTTTCCGAGCTTACACTACTCGCACAAGTCAGCAACACCTTTCCATCGCTGCTGCTCGATAGTAACAACTGATCATGGTACGTGTTGAACCGTACATTCCATATCCAATGGTGATGATCATTTCTGGCAAATACATGCTCCTTCGTATTCCGGAAGTCCCAGATTTTCAAAACCCCGTCGTCTCCCCCCGTGGCAATGTGGTACTGCTTGTTTGGATTACAGTCTAAATCCCGCACCAACTGACTATGGGCATCTTCAATCGTCCACGCACAATGATTCGGATCCCTAACATCGTACGACTTCACACTGCAATCGTACAGTGTTATAAACTGATTCCCCTGATTGAAATGTGACCATCGTCCTCCGGAGAATTTCGGCATATTCTTCGCATTTATTTCAGCGACCAGCTTCGTGCAGGCCTCAGCTCTATTGAACAGCAAAATTTTCCCATCGATAACCGTGCTCAGCAGTGTTGCATCCGACGGGTGGAACTCGGTCGTCCGAATCTCTCCTCCATAAGCGTCCGTTTTCAGCACTTCAACTTCGGCTAACTGCAAAAATTCCTGACTGCTTTCACAGGGCTCCAACCGCTCCGGGAGACGTAGCAACGCCGTCTGCATTGTGGTTTGTGTTCCCTTGTGAGTACTATAGCACGACACCAGCATCTGGCCATCGTGGGGGCTGGCATTCAGTTTCCAAACTTCTCCCAACGGATGGGCGAAGACTTTCGCCTCGAGGGCGGAGTTGTCTTCGTTGAGATCGACTACGTGCAGCTGGTTATTCGGTTTCAGTGATTGCGTGGCCAAAAAGAAGCGGACTTCGTTGCTTTCTGCCTGCCGAGAGGCCAGGGCGCGTGCCTATTTCCGGGGAGATGCGAATTAGGGATCCAAACTTTCAGAACATTCACGACCAAGAAGCTCAATACCTGGAACTCCAAGCCGTACACTAGAGAATTTGTATCGTCCATCAATAGGCTGTTGTCTTCTGATTCAGAATTGCCAAAATAATTATTATTCACTTCAACCTGATTTGAAAAAAAGTGTTCATCCACCAGGATTACGTTTGACTAAATGATAATATTACAGTAACTGTTGTAAAAGAAATTAACAATCTGGCAAATTTTCAGGGATTTTGTTTACATGATCGTATCGATCGTCGGTCGTCGTGTCACTCAAAAATTGTTTAACGTCAATTGACGGTAATCGAATTAGCGTTGCCAGATTGTTTTAAAGTTTATCGGTATCAAAGGTATTAAAAAATCAGTATTTATCGGTTTTTTACTATTTAATTACTTTTATATTTTTGCCGGTTTTGAAAGCGAAAATTTTAACCATGATGATGACTTGAGGCGGGACTTGAGGGGAATTGCTTTATTTAACGGGTTTCTCAGTCTTAAAACAATCTTTATTTTTTAATTTTTTTTTTTTTTTTTTTTTTTAATTATCGCTGTCCTTGAGTGGTGATCCAAATTGTGACCAAGTAGTTTTTTTCAATTAAATATCTTTAAATGAAACCAAAATATGGAAAATCAAATACAACGACGACTCAACTTTTGACAATAACGACAAACAATATTTTTCCTTGAAAAAGGCCACAACCGATGGTCGAAATGTTGGACAGATTACATCGTAGTCGTTGCAGTGTTTTAAGACCAAGAGAGCCGTTAATCAAAGCAAAATTTTAGCTTTTGAATTATGATCGGAAATTCCGGAAGAAAACTCCGGGGAATGTTTGAATTAGCTTCTGAACGAAGCTGAAAAACATTTAGAGAAAGACGAAAGAAGCTCTCCTGGATGAAGTTCAAGAAAAGCTGGAAAAAACAACCGGTAAACTTTCAAGACACTGAGTGAAACAGTGAGAAACTTGTGGCGAAAATTTAAATAAACTATCGAAAAAAAAAATCGAATGTCACATCCAAAGGAAGCCAGAAAAGTTTTTGAAATCGGAAGAAAATTTCCAGAACTAGCCATTTCCAGGGAAATCCAGAAGAAGCTCGGAAAAACCATCCAATAGAAGTTGAACAAAAAAACCTTTGACTTATGATCAAACTTCCAGAAGAAGACGAAAGAAATTTATGGGAGAATTGATTGGACTTCCTGGAGAAGATAAAAGAAACTTCCTGGAGACGCTGGCAGGAACTTGGAAGTAACATCTGACGGAAGTGGGAAGCCAGAGCACTTACGGAACAGTCGAAAGAAACAAGGACATAATTCATAAAACATCCCTGAAGACTCCGTAATTTCCCTGAAGTTTTCGGAACATTCCTGAAATGCACTTTGGAATATTCCCTAATTCCTCCGAATTCCTTAAAAGTTCTTGTAATTTTCGTGAAATTGGGGGCTGTTTTGGTGTTCTCTGGTCATCCTCGAAGCGCTCGGAATTTTCCTGATTATAAAGAGAATACCGGAATATCTCTAATCATCTTTGCAGGTCTCTGGACTTTCTTGAAGATTTTCTTGAATTTATTGTAACATCAACATTGAAGCTCTCTGATCTTCCTGATTTTTATTTTTATTTTGAAAAGTTATCGACACTGCCATTAAAAAAGCATAGTACTTCCCATAAAATGTTCTCACAATGTTCTAATGTTCATGTAACTTCCCTAACGTTTCCTTAATTTGCATGAGCTCCTCAGGACATTGTTAAAGTTTTCGGAAATTGCCTCATTGAAATTAATTGTTCTGTCCTGGTGTTCTCTGAGCTTCACTGAAGATCCTGAAAACCATTCAATTTCCCTGAAGTTCTTTGAACTATGTGAAGTTTACAAAATATTTATGATGTTTCCTGAAGATCACTGGAGTTTGCTGGACTTTTCTGAAATATCCGAGTTTTCGAATTTTAACAGAAGATAATTAAACTGTTGATTAAACTGTCTTTGATTTATCGAAACTTACACAAAATTCTGAACTTTTCTTAAGTTTCAGGACTTCTTAAATGTTCCTGCAGCTAGTGTGGATCCGCAGTAAAAATCTGATAGCATCCTTGAAATTCCGGGAAAGTTGAATAAAACTGACGAGAGAAGATTAAAGAATCATTTGAGCGAAGGCTGAAGAAACTTCCAAGGTATGGTGGAAGAAAATTCCAGGGAAAGTTGGATGAAGCTTTACGAAGTTAAAAAATGAATAAAAACGTCCGAAAGTTAAATAATGTTTAAGAAATATTTCTCGATTCCCTAGGAATTACCGGAAAGAGGCATCGACTATTTCTCGATTGATGGGTAGCCAAAAGCGGTGGGGAAATGCAAACATTAGTCGAAAGAGTATCAAGCATAAGGCATCTTTAGAGATGATTGTTTAGAATTTTGATGGCTTAAAAAATATGAGGTATTCAAAAAGATACAAGTCTCTCACAAAAATTTTCTCCAAAATTGAAGCGCGGGCAGGCAATAATAATTTTGATTATTTAAAAAAAAATCGGTATAAATCGGTATAAAATCTCAAAAATCGGTATTCTGAGGAACCTTATCTGTATATCGGTATCTAGTTCGGAAATCGGTATGAATACCGATAAATCGGTATATCTGGCAACGCTGCGAATCTAGACGAACTTTTCTAAAGGTGCTATTTACATGAAGGGGCAAGACAATATTAATGTTTCAATATATTCCCAATATTCTGATATTGAGATTTTCACGTCCGGTTGTATTGGTACGATATGTGAGAGCGTGTTAGTGAATATCCAAGGAAAATACATAACAAATCGATGTCAAACTCATTTTGACAGGTCTACTTTCATACATTTTTAGGTTAACCAGAGGAAAATAATAAACAACTTTACAGGGCGTTGCTTCCGCTAGTGTGCGTGCGTTAAACGTCACTAATCTCTATATTCCCAATGAGCTTTATACAAAGGTGAGGAAATCCGCACTAATACACACAAATAGATCAGCTGATTAGTGTTGTTTACTTTTTCCTCTCGCGTTGCCTACGTCACCATTTGTGTTTACGTTTTGATACTAGCAGTTTTTTCATCGCTGCTCGGTGTAAGTTATCTGTTTAAATCGTTTCAGCCAGTGAATCTCTCGTTAATAATGCCGAAGTGTGCAGTGAATGTGTGCTTGTTTTCTTCTGCGGAAGCTGAAATAAGTGAAAGAACAGTGAGCTTCCATGTGTTTCCGAAGGACGGTAAAGCGCGGTCCCACTGGGTCAAATTTTGTGGACTCAACAGTGACCCGGGAAAAACCCTCTATATTTGCTCGCAGCATTTTTCCAATGAGTGCTTTAAAAATAATGCCACCATCCAAAATATGGTGATGCCAGCAAGCAAGGCACGAAACATACTAGTAAAGAATGGTAAGTTTTTAATTTTTTACGTCACGCGTATCTAGCTTTTGTTGTAGCGTGTCCCACCATCCGGAAACCATGTGTACCGGTATCCCATGCATCCGGTCGTGAAAAACGACGTGCATTGAAAGAAAGGAAAAAGATGGTAGAAGCGCTTCTCGAGGTACACGAAAAACAACATCCGGTTGACCAGCAGTTCGAGGATTCATGTTCACAGGAGCCATCTGAATGTTTTGTTCCAATGTCGGATGCAACTGTCGCTGTCAGCTCCGGATCAAACCTTGATGTCCTTCTGGAAGCAATCGAATTATCGGGAGGAGTACATGACTCTGGATTTTTCGACGTCGATGCAAGTCCGGTTGATTCGATTCACGTTCGTGCCGATTTAGAATCCACCCGCATTGAGCATTCCTCTAGCACCCCCGCTGCAACCAGTGCTACAAAAGTAGGAAATCATGTTGCAAGATTAAACAGCCAAGTACGGCGCTTGAAAAGTACGGTCCAAGCACGAAACGATAAGATCAAAAGCTTGCGCTTGCGGGTAAGTCTTCTTTACTTCATTGAAAATCGATAATAAAAGGCTTCACCCACAGACAAACAGACAACACTAAATGCCAATCATCATTTATTCATTTAAGGGTTGATTTATATGTTTATTTGACCCCACTGGTGGGACGCGTAGGCATCTAATATGGAGTTCGATGCTCCACTTTTCCGTGATCTATTGAGTGCTCTGCCCTTCATACTGATATCCACAGTGTGCTCAACAGATGACGGTAGTGTCTTATAGCCGATGATTTGCAATCGAATTTGTTCATGGTGTTATGTCGGTTTGTCTATGATTCAACCTTGGCTTAAACATTTTTTTTTAACAGGTGATGCAGAACAACCAAAAATTCATCGCGCTGATGAACGTGATTAAAACAAAAGACAAGGAGTTGAAAGAGAAAGAACGACAACTTTGCGAAAAAGACTGTGCTGTGGAACATCTTCGAAAGGCCTGTGGTGAGCTAAACGATGTGAGAGAAGCCCACATAACCCAGCGTGTGAGAAAAGAGTTTGCCAAAGTTTTCACAGAGAACCAAATTTATTTGATACTTGGCAATAAGAAAAAAGTGGTTTGGACAGCGGAAGAAATTGCAAAGTCGTTCTCGTTGAGGTATGATTAATTTTTTTTTTAAATACACTACCCATCATAAAAAAAACAGAATTTTCACTTAAACTTGAAAAATTCACTCCTCCTTTGTAATCTTGATGTCATTTTGTATTTTACAAGATGATTTATGACTTTCCTATAGTGATTTTCTTCTCTACAAACTGGTTCACAACTTTTTTGAAGTGATTTAATAAATTTGCTAGTATTAGATAGTAGTAGTATTCCATAGATTTCTAAGGTGTTTTAGTTCTTGAATACTAATTTACTATTTTTCTGAATTGATTAAGTAAATAGCAAAGTGATTATTGATTTTTCTAAAGTGATTCACTAATCAGTAATTGATTCTTAACTTTCCTGAAACGATTCCTTACTTTGTAAAACTTTCCTGAAATTTTTCGCTAAATTAAATGTTTATAACGGAAATTATGTTTATAACGTTTTACAGATACCACAGCAAAGTCGCTTATGAAGTGCTACGATCAGAATTTAAATACCCTCTGCCATCCTTGCGAAGCTTGCGTGAATGGGCATCTAAAATCAATATGCGACAAGGATTTTTGGAAGACGTGTTGACTTTTCTTCAAATTGCCGGTGCTCGCATGTCTGATCGAGAAAAAATCACCGTTCTAGTGTACGATGAAATGTCTGTTA